ATTGTGGCATTTGTGAGTCATTAGGGGGTAGTTTAGCCACCTCTTGGGAGAAGGTTCGTGGGCTGAGCTCATCATGGGTTTTTTTTAAGGAAAATATTAGCTCATTGCAGGTCTACCTTTCGGTGTCTGCTACTTGTAATATGTACAGTGCTTGCCGTCTTGCATTTCACGCGAACTGAAAGTCGCCGACCTCGACGGAGTGGGAAGAATATAAAAAACAAAAGGCCAGAATCAGATTGCATCGGGTTCTAAGGAAATCTCTTCTTGGGATTTTGTGTTGAACGTGGTCTCCAGATGTATTACAAAAGCGCCAGAGATCATCATCATCTTCATTATGTGGGTTATTGTGATACTGCAGCACGTTGTGACGCAATTTGATTCTGAATAGATGACGTCAGCACGGTGGCTGTGATAAAGTTCACTTGCATGACATTAAATGGACTCTCTAGGGATGGTAATAAAATATTTGAGATCTGGATAATACACACAGGTTAAAGTAAAGCTTTAATTAATCGATTTTTTATCGATTAGAAATAGATTTTTGTTATTTAGCAATCAATAAATATCGATCTTAGTCGAAAAACAACTTTCGGGTCCTAAATAAAATTAAACTTATCGACATTGCGTCGATATTAATCGATTACATTATTTTATTTCAATTTTCTAGTACTATTTTCCTACTATTATATTGATTCTTTTTTTTATTTTTGTCGATAAATAACTATAAAGTCTATATAACATAATATATCCTAAATAGTACTACAATTATCTATATTTCGTTGATATTTATCGATTTGGTAGCATTCTTTAACATACTGAATCAAGGAATAGACTTTGTATCGATACTAGATCCTTGTCGAGTAATTACCAAACAAAGTAAACAGGACAAGAGCCAATGACTCTTATCACCAGACTATTTCAGGTCATCTGTGTTCTTTGTTCGATTTTTTCGTGCTTCGACCCAGGTCACGGGACCATCGCCAGAGCTATGACTACCATAAACTATAGACCAGACCAGATCGACTGATAGACACGCAGCGGCAACGGCAGCACAGCGGGAGCCTTAGCGTCGGTGCCACGTCTAATTAGTACTTAACTGGCTCGAACCGTTTGGTTTGGGCTTGGGATAATGTGACTGACTGACCGAATGGCGATATATGTATGTAGTATCGATTCTGACGTCAATTGTTTGAAAATTGCGGTGCTCATTGTCAATGCAATTAGAGGTATTGAACGAATAGATCATGATACGACCAGAGGTGGAAAACGACGCCCAGCACTTACTTACTTAAGCATTAGTTATCGATACTCTGACAGAGCTCCGGAACCTTGAAGGAATCGTTTTGGACATATGTGATGATTCCAGCACGGATCATGTAAGAGATCATGGGAAAGACCTAGCCAAGGCACGTGGCCAGAACACGCTTTTGTGTACCAGAGAAGATAAACACCACAAGACTAAGCCCGATGTTTACCCATCCTGTAGCAGATTCTTATGCAACCATCAATGTGTTATTTCTTATCTACCCGATTGTCTGACTGTCTTGGAAATGTAAATTATTTAATACTATTCTTTGCTCTTCGGACTTGTTTTCCCACTCTAGAAACTCCCCACACTTGCACAAATATCGGGTGAGTGGTAAAAACCCAACACAACCCGACTAGAGTCAATGTGTTTTCATACTTTTTGTTTTTTTATCTTATCTGTCATGCTTTTTATGGTCTTGTTTATGGGTTCAGCACTTTGTTTTTCACAAAAATGTCGAAAATTATAAAGCCAGTCCATCATCAACGAGGCAACAACGGGGGCTCGACAAAAGCCAAGCCATTCGATCCTCACATCGAGCGAAAATAAGGCTCCATAAATGTCATTAAGTCATTAAGTTGTCTTAACATTTCGACTTCTCATGGTTATCTTGTTGTTTTTTCACAATTTTTTCTTCAATTGTCGATTGTTTGGTTAGGAAATTTTGGGCTTTACGATTTCCGATTTGCGAAGAAAGCTAAAGACTCTTTTTATGGGGTTTTGTAAATATTTGTGGGCAGAAATGATAAATGAAAGGAGTTAACAATAATAAATTGGTTATATTTATCAGATTGTGTGTGGCATACCGATCCTTATAATCATAAACCACCAAGGTTTTGCTTACATCTCTTACCTTGACTAGAGGGTATTTTGTATTACTAAAGTCTAGTCTCTGGCTATTTCAGCTGATAAGCATTATTATGCTCTGTGCCTGCTTTTATTGTTTGTGCCAGTTCAAATCAATTATTAAATATTAGTATAACCTAAAAAGCTTATCAACAGAAGCTCTCGAGTATGGAAGCGAACGACCTAATCATTGGCGCCAAGTCTTCTATTGTTTTTCTTTCTTTATATTTTTCTGCTTCTATTTGTTTTCTTCATCGATTGAAGTGTACACAGAAGTATATAAAAAGTCAGAGAGATTAGCATAGAATTTGGAGCGTGTGAGTGGCTGTCATGTCATGTATTTCTTATATATTTGATAATAGAGCTCTCTGAACAAAGGCAAAGCCGTCTTTGATCGCCTGAGGGCGAGAAAAGCAGTGACGTCACCCCAGATCTTGTTGCCTTGATTGATAAGTGATAAAAAAAAAACGAATAAGAATGATTGTTTAAGGAAGCAAAAATCACACACTTCCGCCTACTGAAAGGGTCGTGCCTCATTTATTATTTGTTTTGCTTTATTTTTATGTACTTTGCGTGGATTTGTAAAACAGGAAAATACTGTAGCTGTCGCTGTCGCTGTGGCGGTCATCTCGAAGAGACTGCTGCAAATAAATTACATTTTTATTTGACGCGCCTTTGTCTAAAAAGAAAATTCAGTTCTTTCTTTGCCCATTTCAATGCTAACGTGACTCAAGTCAAGGAATACGCCACAAAAACCGCAGACCGCAATCCGCATTTTCCCTACGTGACAACTCAACTGAATGGGTTTAAGAAAATATTGTGTATATATGTATATTGCGAAAGGAGATCAAAAAAGAGGAAGTGTCCTAAAATATGAATGATGTGCGACATCTGCTGGGGTTAGAGAACTTTCCCGAATGCGGCCGCACCTGGTGGAAAATGTAAAAAGGAAATCATGACTTTATGTGTCTGAAAATGGGATCATGTTTTCAATTTACGAAATTCTAAAAATTAAAAGATAATGAAAGGCGGAGCTTTGTCTGGCGGCAAACGCCCAAAGCCAATTCCATTTCGGTGATTGCGTGTTGAGTAATTATAATAATTATCGCAATGAAAACAAGCACACACAATTCATATACACAGTATTTTTGCACATTTGTGTTGTGTTGCCTTTATTTGCTCATGAATTTTCAAACAATTTATGGCTTTTTTGAAGTGTGGCCGAGAGATAAGCGCAAAAAAACAGTCTGCCATTTTTTTTTTGTTTTTTTGTAAACAAGACAAAAAGCCTGATAAGCCAGCGAAGGAAGGGAGCTCATAAAAATGAAACACAGCCCCCCAAAGTCACATATAATAATATTTAATATTTCTTTTTTTCCTTTCCCCATTCAAGGTCAACAGCAACAGTAAGAGAGCTGAGAAGTTAAACGCATAAATTCTGAGGCACAAACAAAAGTTAAGACTGGGGGAAATGTCTGTGGGGAAAATACTCGTACTTTCACAAAGACACAGAGAGAGGGAAAACTTTGCTTCTAGGTGGCTAGAAAGGAATTTGAAAAGAAAGAAAAACAAGAAGAGAATCGAAATGAAATGCGTTGGTTGTGGCCCAAAGAAAGTGGCGGCGAGAGCAATTCAATTGACCCAAATGACCATTATGGGTGGCAGGCAAGCAGCTCTCAGCTCCAAGTTGCAACTGCCTTTGCAGCGTCGCTATCTCTCAATTGGTTTTCGTGGAAAAGGAAAAGTTGATTGACTTTAAATGAGGCAAAAATCAAAAAGCATGCAGCAACAGTAGCTAGCTAGTTGCCACAGCACTAAATGTGTCATCAAGTTCCGCTTGGAATTATTTATTGGCCGCGATGTTTCGCATAATAAACAAGTGATGGCGAAGATTTACTCAAGGATCTTGCCTCCTAGCTTTATATTCTGTTAAAGAGATCGGTTTTCCTCATACAGTATAGACTGGGTTAACCCATTATAGGTTTTTATATACAGTTATGGCCTAATCAAACCCTGATTGCAATAACTTCAAGTTTATTAGGGTTGGCAACCATCTTAGCTACACAATAAAATTTGCTTTTCAGCCAGCTGAAATCATTGAAACTTTTATTTCAACCGATTACACAGTCTCAATAGCTTGATTGTTCGATTAGATTGCCAAAAACACTTGAGAAGCAATTTGATTATTCGCCGTAAGTCATGAATATCAATGGCTTTCCATTCATAACTATCTGCCACAGTTCATTTCAGTTCATTGAAAACAGAAACAAGACTCGATGAAAAACCAATTGTCATCATCTTCTTCGGACCGAGACTCTTGTGCTGGGCTTTTTAATTGGGTCTAAATATAGAATCCACCATTGAAATGCATGCCATCTGAGTGCGTACAGCACATTCAATTCAATTGAACTAAATTTGTACTTCATGTACACAGTCGAGAATGAACGAGGAGGGCCGCCACTTGATTGAATAGTATCTTCTGCTGCCCCACTCGAACATCTTTCGATGGGCAAAAAGATACTTCTCTTCTTGGTGCTATTTATGGATGTTCAGAGACTTGAGACCTTGCCTAATCGAGATTAAGAACTGACCATCAAGAGTACGCATCTTTGGGTTCGAAAAACAACGTATGTTTTCACGGTCAAAAGTTCAAAAATGTTCAAGTGACGTCTCTTCTTGAGTTGTTTCTTGATAAGAATTATTTTATGACAACTTTGGCCCATTATAAAGATTACGGATTTCATGTTTTTATTCGCATTCTTATCATTTTGGCGCTGTGTACATTTTATGACTGACGGTCGTATTTATAAATGTCTGATATAAAACAATTAACAAGTGTTGAACTTACCATTGCCTGTTCGATTTTGTTGTCAATCGCAACTGCACTTGTTCCAGATGCACTGCAAATAAATTAATGGGGAAAAACGGAGATTAGTTAACGTTAAAACAAGAGTTTGTCATAACTAATTTTAATCAAATAAAAAGTTGAAAGCGAAATCGTTAAGCCTCAAAAATCATCTATTTAATAGCCTCATCATCATTCCCATTTACCGCTCAATTAAAAACAAATCATACAATCTTTCAAGTTGCCATTTTTTTTTTGCGCCTCAAGACTTTTGCGCCCAGACGAAACCAAAGACCTTCAAATGATAGTTATTTTTGGCCATCTGACCTTGCTGAAGCCAGACACAAATTGAGGTCAATATGACAATAAAAACTTCCTCGAAAAAAAAGCCCGATCACTGAATAAAACACGCAAATCTCCCCATCTAATTGCAATGCCAAATGAGCAATTAAATTGTCATAAGACCAAAGTGAAAGATGAATGGCACGGAAAGTCTTCAGTCTTTTTTTTTTTATTTCACTGAATTTAAATCCGATATAATGAATTTTTATGCAACCAAGCGTGTTTTTAAATACTCCTCGAATGGATCAATCAAAAACAGTTTGGCATATTTCCTTAATTGCCGAGTAGTGCTGGCAAAAGTGCAAATTATAGCATCGATCGTTCGATTGGCATCAAATTATGCAACCCATGGCGAAAACTAGAAAAAGCGCCCAACTATCAATAAAGCAAACCCAGCAATTTTTTGCAAGCCCCCTCGTATACACCGTATTACATAAAAGAAGTTTTGTGTTGTAGAGTATATAAACTGGATTTTTGTTCATTTATGTTCTAGGCAAAACTCTAGCTTACTCTGCAGCTTTTAGCGCTCACCTTGAGGTTAAACGAGATTCAAATGTTGCCGGTAAACGAAGTTATTGCCGGTTTTTTAAGACTGGCTTTTGCATAAACCTTTCAAGGACGTTTTAAAAAGCTTAAATGCTAAAAGATTGCTTGCTGTTTACCATTCACCAAGTATTTCAATTTATCATTATCTTAGATTCTAATAAACTACATTTCAAACTCGAACAATGAACTCTTTTAAGACAACCCACATATATTTTCTTTCAGTTCATGGCATTGTAAATCGATTTGGTGATTTTTTTCTATCATTTATCAAACCATATGGGCTTCATTTTGTGGTTCAAAAATTCTTGCCACACACAATAATTTCTAATTATAGAAATGGCAAGATACTGTACTGGAGTGTGTCATCAAATTAGATGGCTTAAATGGGTAGTTATGGATAGGGGGGAAAAAAAAACATGTGTAGCACAGGAGCAGTGAGTCAGTTTTAAAGGTTACTCATTGAAAGTTGCATAAAAACAGCACATTATTTGAACTTGAAATAAGAAAATAACTGATATCATTAGACTTAAATATTATAAAGAAATGCAAACAAAAAGGAGATTAAAACTCGTAAGCTTTCATAAAAAAAGTAAATAATAAAGTGCAATATTTCACAACTTTCATGGTTAAATTATTTATTTATCTTTGGGTATTTTTAAAAATATTCCTTTGTTGTTCAACAAATTCCTTATTTGTGGGGTAAAAAATTACCACAACGATAAAGTATATACTTTCATGATTAACACATCATCCTGCTGTTGATGTTTTTGCTTCCATTTTAAATTGGTTGAGATGGAATAACAACATCATTTCGGCTGCATGCTAAATGGATTTGCAGCGTGCAAACTAATTAAAGTCAGTGGAAGTCTGGAGGACTGAACAATAAAGAATGAAAAGAGGGTTCCGTTTTTTATAGGAATCTGTCGCGGAAACTTCTGATTTATCCTCTGTGTAAGTCAGCCGGCAAGGTCGAAAGGCAAAAAGTTTCTTAACCTGAGCGAGCGGAGGAGTCAAGGGAACGACAAACAGAGTTTATGACTTTCTATATAATCTTGAAAGCCGGGAAAAAAGTAAAAGTATCGCCATTGCATCCAGACAGATCGAGTGCAATGACTCATGACGTGACTTTTGTTCTCTTTCTTTGGGCTATGGGCAAAAAACAAAAGCCAGAGAAATAAAATAAAATAACAATTATTCGCCAATGTCATTGCGGACAACGGTCAATGGCGTTTTTATTTAAACGGAGGGATTTTTTTTTTTTTTGGAAAATCGCATGGCAATTAACTTTAATTCACTCGATAATTATTATGTGGGGACCAAAATTCAACAAATAACACACTCAATTATTTAAATGTGAAAATGAATTTTAAAATAACTTTTTTAAATGGAAATTCGGTTAATATGGGTGACATAAAAACACACTTAAAGGGAAAAATAATTATTTAATGAAATGTTAAGGGAATTATTTTAAAATGTGCAACGTATAAGAGTAAAAATACAAAGATTTAAAAGGATTCTTCAAGACATCATTTAGACACAAATTCTTAATATTATTTTCCCACAAAACTTGGTCATTTTTCATAGCTGGAGACAGCATCATTATCTCACCAGGTGTTATCAGCAGGTAACCGCAACAAATACAAATATATTTGTAGCCACACAAAAGCAAACAAAGTTTTCGAAAGCTCAAACACGAAATATAAAAAAAACCAATAATAAACACCTAATATATATAAGTGCGTATGCACTCATAAAAAATCACGCAACAAGCTAAAAAATTAAAGCAAAACACACACATTTCATTGTACAAAAAAAGCACCCAAAAAAACAAAACAAGAAAAAGTGAGGGAAGAAAAGTAAGTGCAAAGTTTATTAAGGTTCAAGAGCCGACACCGTAAGCTCATAAAAATAACCAATGATGTCACTTATTTATTTACTTTTTCACCGCTGCGATGCTTTGTGTTAATTTAAAGATTATTTATTCGAAATGTTGCCATATGATTTAGGTCTGATTTTTGTTTACTATGCACGATCTAGTTTTGGGTTTTATTTATGAGATCACGTGATTAAAGGTTTTATATTTTTATGACAGCAAAAAATGTGCTAAAGACAATAAACAAAAATTTAAACTTTATTTTTATATTTAAGCTTTTATTTATGTTGATTTTATAATTATAAAATAAATTCAACGACTTGTTTTTAACTATTTTCAGTATTTTCAAGTATACATAATTTAAATACTACTAAGAAACTATAAAAATAATATTATTTATGCTCTACGTAACCTGAAATTTGTTAATATTTTATTATTTTTATTCTTTTGTTTTCCTTTTTGCTTTTTTCAGTTGGCGCCACAACGAACGTGCCACATCTTCATTTCAAAGGCACTTGTTTTGACTGGCAATTGCTGAAAATTCGAATTACTAGACGTCCATTGCCTTGTAAACGACCCACCAGCTACTTGATTTGCGTCTTGTTTTGCATCCAAATCCAAACGAATTGAAATTAATCGAATGTGAATCCGATCTGTGAATGAAACTCTGGCCGATTGCCAGGTTAATTCCTTGAAGCGTGTCGCTGATCTTTGGCATTTTCTCCTACTGGCTATTTTCAGGATATTTTCAGTCAAATATTTTATTTTTGTTTGTTTGATTTTGCGCATTTCCGAAATTTGAAACTTGCGGATGTTGTCGATTCTCCCCTAAAATAACAAATGGCTCTTTGCAGCATTTTTGCCTGCACGCTGACTCGACAAAATCAAACACAATACAGAGTGTGTAAAAAACAGATATCGGAATTTGTTGTCATGCTGTTGTTTTTGCTGATGTAAGCGAACCCACGGAAATTCGCCAAGAGAACTTGGCATACATATTTATGCCACATCTTCCCCTCGATACCAACGATGTCTTCCCGTCCCGTTTTGTGAAGTGTTTATTTGCATTCACGGAGGGCCCCCAAGAGCCGGGAACGCCGAGAGTTCGACGAGTTCCCCCATATTCGAGCTCGGGGGAGACATAGTAGTGTTTACGACTCCAGGAAGTTGTTGGCGGGCTAAAACAAAACACATCGTAAAAATTGTTTGGCAAAAACAGAAAAATAAACAATTCGATAAACGGGAAGTCAATTGTAACAATGTTTTTAGGAGTAAGAATGAAAATGTATTTTTGATTGGCAAATATTTATAATGTATGAAAAACTATAATAATATTTTTTAAAATAATTCCTAAAATGTAGACAATATTTTACTCAATGCATAACAAGTTTAACATATTCAGCTTTTTCGTTAAGACTTTATTTTTTGCAAAAAGAATCTATAAAATAAAATACTTTATTGCCCACTACCTTTCTCTTTAATAATTATTCTTTGTGCTGCTTTCATCTATTGCATATATATTCTATATTCACACACAGATAACATTGCTTTTCTACAAAGCAAACAAAGAGCAACAAAGCGTAACTATAAAAATGAAATCATAAAAAGTCTAAATAATCAGTGGAAAATAAAATAAAGAAAAACACAGGCATCGTTTGGCCCTGACCTAATTAAAATCGAAATGATGAATATAAGCAAAAAAGAAATGACTTTATATAGAAACGCCCAACAAAAAGGGTTCGCAACACGATAAAAACAGGCGCCTGGACTTAAAAATGACTTAAACCGAGAGTCCAGAAATACAAAAAAAAAGAGTAAATTAAAGTCTTGTTCAAGTCCAAGACCGGTTCGTTTCACCGCCTTATTGTAGGAAGCCTTAAAGTGTCTGAAAAGCCAGCAGAAAGGCGGCGAAACCACCGAAGAAATGTCACCAACTTGGCAGGCTTCACAACCGGAGGCGCGTGCTCCTCCTGTTCCTCCTCCTCCGGATTCCCCGCATTCCCGTTTCAAACAAATGCAACTTTTTTTTTTTTTTTGCAACAAGTTGCCTAACTGGACGTAACGGACAAAAAACAAAATGAGGTCAGAGCAAAAAATAGTATTTTATCCAACTAACGATGCTTTGGCCCGTTTTCCGATGATGTAAGGCCGACCAAACACAGGAAGCGGGCAAGTAACCAGTCTTGAACATATAATTCGATTATACGGTACCGATTTGATGTAAGTTAAAGCTTGGGATATGACATGGGATTTGGATAAGAAAATCAATAGGAGAAAAGACTTTTAAATCTTTA